ATATGTGTGTACGTAAACGCTAGTGTTAGCGACAGTATTGTTACGTAAAACTGAAATTTCGAGAAACTCTCCACACCCCTATAATTTTTCAGTGCTCTTGATAACTCTTAAGACTGTTGGAGTAAGGAGAAATCTTTTCTGCACTCAATGAAGATAAAAGTAACTGTTTTACTATCACACTTTTAGTTATACCAGAGTCCTATTAGTATTGTATCCCCCAATACTATATTACGTTCATCAGTGATCATTGTCATTATACATTCAAGAACAGATTAACTCATATTAACCTGTACAAACATCTGCATTATCTCTTTACTTAGGCATAATTAATACCCTAGGGGAAAAGTAACACTATTTTATATTGTAAGACATGGAAATTCAACCAAACATACATGTGCAACTGTGTAAACAGATCTTGCTATTTATCTCAAAAACCTCTGATCCATTGGTCGAGTACAGCTAAATCTTATCTTACCAGTTCTCAGTTAGTTGACCCTTAAAGAGATATTAGTCATATTACAAATACCTTTATCCATCTGTGTTATGATGCATTGTTTGTCTGGGGCTGAAAACTTTGATAACTCATTTGATAGAATATTTGCTGCAGAGTAATAGTGGGAGCTGGAGGTCCTGAGTTTATGTCTTAGTCAGTGCGGAACGCTTTTCATCTAGTTTTGATGATTACAGTTGACAATCTTGGCCTATAGACATAGCAAAGAGTGTTTTGTAAAGTCTCAGATATTCTGAAACAAAAGATTAAATGAATAAAATGAAATATGCTCCATATTAAACAAATTGCCAAGCTGCTTTATCGAAATAGGATATGACAATGAGTTGTTATAACTGTGATTTTTATGGTGGTGAATAAAGTCATTCAATTTAATTAACACAAGTTCCGAGGATTAAACAAATGAGTAGGTATTTCAAAATTAGTAGGAGGAACATATTGTTGCGTCATCGAGGTCACGTGACTGGTGTGGCGCCCTCTATTTTCTAGAACTATCTTGTTTTTTCATGAATGCTCTAGTATTTACTAGATAGGGTAGGCGGGTATATATAAGAGGGGACAACGTGACGCGAGGATAAAAGAAGGTAATGGGTGTATAGATAGTGAGTAATTGAACTGCAGTCAGAAGTATTATTGACGTTCGTTGTTATAGCGTTTGTTTAGCGCGATTGTTGAAGTTGAGTGTATCGGTAAAGTTATATTCGGAAAGAATAAACCAGTTTTATTAAGTAAAGACTTGTGTCGTTAAAATTTCCTCGGAACGAAGTTACGGAAAGTTAATTAACAAACGGAGACGTAACAATATGTTAATACAGGTGAGATGTTATCTGCGTTAATTTTAGAATACTGGCGTGAGCTAGGGAGCTTAGGTTCACATCCCAGTTAGGGTAGTGATTTTCACCTACTTTGAATCACTACAACTGCGGACTACATTACAAAGTATGATATAGATAGAAACATCAACCTGCTAACCACGAAATTCTTATTGGAGAAAGCGCATTTGATTAAATCAAATATTTCTTGACTTCTCGAACAATACCGACGAAATCAAACTGTTGTATGATCCACGTGTTACATCAAATTAATTTGGTAACTTTAGTAATGATGATGTATTATTGATGCCAAGTCAACTCGGTAAAATGTTGGCTGCTCTTATTTTTTACTATGTTTGTAAATTTGATTTAAAAGCGTCTTACTAATAGTATTTTGTAGTAAATTATATGCTCTTAATAAACCAAAGAAACAAAATATATCTGTAGGTTTACGATGCTAAAAATCGGGTTTTGATATCCGTGCCAGGCAGAGTACATTGTGTAGCTTTGTGGTTAACAACATTCAAACCAAACCAACAAAATATAATTAAAATAAATATTGTTGAGCAATGTAAATTAAAATTGTCTTATGTTAAATAATTGGAGTGTATACACATTGCTAAGTATGTTTTCTGAATAAAATTGTTGTGTTTCAATCTTTTAATGTAGTCAATATTTTTAATTTAGATTTCATTGTTGTTTAAATAGTTTTGTTTTGTTGGAAATTTCTCTCTGTGTTCGTTCTCACACTGTTGTTTAGCATAAGTGTTTATATAGATTGAATTTACACGATACTGCTTAAGTGATATGTGAAATTTTTACTGTTGTTGGATTCTGATGTCCAATAAGTATCAAGATCCCAGTAAACAGCTGATTCAGGAAATGTTAATAAGACTAAATATAAAACGTACAGGAAAGAAAAAGATTCAAGCAAGTATGTGAAACAAAAATATTTATTTGTTAACAAAACGACTAAGGTGCTGGCATGTTACTGACACTGGTTGTCTTCTTGGTTGAGTTGGATGATCTGGCTGCTTTGGTCAGTGAAAGTAATGCATATATTCGACAGACAAGTTATTGTTTATTTTATTTTGTTGAATTTCGTGCAAAGCTACCTACTTGACTAGGTGATAGACTAGAGTTAGATCGGCATGCGACAAGTTTACGGACTCATAACGATAAAATCCGGGGTTTGATTTACCACGGTTGACAGAGCGCGTATAGCCTATTGTGTAGCTTTGTGCTAAAAGAATAACAAGTAAAAACGTAGTGTAGAAGTTAAGGTAAAACAGTGTTTTCCAAAGATAGTGCCGTGGCATACTAATTAGTGTATTTCAAATGTGTAGAAGTTTTTGATAGCTTAAAATGTGTCTTGGGAGGGGGACGAGGGAAACATTAATGTAGGACACAAAGCTACATACTGTATTCCGGGTTCTTCTAATGACCTATATTTAAATTATTCAGTTCTTTTGGTTTCTAATGACATTTTATTTCATTGTATCACACATAGTACAACTTCAGAAAAACTATATTTAGATTATTCCTTCATCAATATTTTCGTTAATAATACATTTGAAGAGATCCAACTTGGATCAAAAGCAATGTTTAATATTTTTGTAGTTTCAACTTTAGTTTTATTTTATCATAGGTTGTCACATAACTACGTGTTTCGAACGTTCTACCCCTAATAGTGGGAAAAAAAATTATCAATAGAATAGCTATAAAAATAATGGATAGCAATATCTGGGGAAAATGTCCTGAGCTATGGATCTCAATCAAATAAGTAGTCTTTTGTTTTTTTCATTCAATTATTTTAGCAAGGATTATCTGTGACGTACATGCATATACTGTGTTAGGCCTTGATTTTAAAATGCATTTTTTTTTATTAAATATCATCTTCGTGGATATGCATTTGCAAAATGATTATCGGCCAATCAACTTTTTTAACATAGACGTTTGGGGAGGCGGCGTGTAATTCAACTGTACACTAAAATCAAATTTTATAAAAACAACTATATACACACGAAATTCTCTAAATGCTAATTTTAATGAGATTTTACTTTTAAAAACAGCATAAGAATGAAAATTATGCTATTTCTTGGCACAATAATCACTCACCTTTCACTAATAAATGTAAGAATACTAACTTATGTTAATAATATTGGGAAATATAGTATGCTATATATTTTCTTTGCTTCACATAGTCTCGAACATTGATTTTTCACGTATTTAACGTGCGACATGAAATAGCTATTTAAAAAAAAACTTGTGAAAACTGCAAAAATCAGTAAGTAATGAAATTTAAGTTATATGTAAATGATCCAAGACAACTTTAAAACATTCAGATTCCCCTAACATCTGAACATCATTTAAATTACATTATTAATTTGCTACAATAAAACTTTTAGACTCCCGTAACTTCAGAACATCATTTACATTAAATTATTAACTTGCTACAATAAAACTTTCAGACTCCCGTAATCTCAGAACATCATTTAAATTACATTATTAATTTGCTACAATAAAACTTTCAGACTCCCGTAATCTCAGAACATCATTTACATTAAATTATTAACTTGCTACAATAAAACTTTCAGACTCCCGTAACCTCAGAACATCATTTACATTGCATTGTTAACTTGCTACAAAATCATGTAACTTAAACTTTTTAAAAATCAAGTTTTCTGGTACAAAATATATAGGTTATAAAAGTGTAAAGCTGGAAGTATGACCGCTCTTTATTAGGTCTTGACGTGGACGACGTTTCGGACTAAACAAGTCCTAGCATGAAGGCCGAAACTTCATCCACATCAAGAATTAAGGTAACAGCAGTCATAAAATTCATAGGTCATAAAATTATTTGAATATCTCAATTAATTACGGACATCCTGATAAAACTATTGTTTACTAACACTAAGAAAAATTATTACTTTTAAGATAGATATCTCATATATATATATATATATATATATTACTTAGTCTACTTTTACAACTAATAACAGGTAAATTAATATCAAACTTGGATTGAAATAGGAAACAGCTAAACAGTGAGCCAAAGTAACAGTCGGGTTCAAACAGAAAGCTCAACGGTTGATTACGACATCTCAACTTAAGACTGAGCTCAACTGTCTTGTATGACATTTCAGCTTGATCACTGAGCTCAGCTGTCTTGTATGACATCTCAGCTTGAAACTGGGCTCAACTGTCGTGTACGTCATCTCAACTTAAGACTGAGCTCAAAGGTCGATTACGACAACCCAGCTTGAGACTGGGCTCAACTGTCGTGTACGTCATCTCAACTTAAGACTGAGCTGAACAGTCGATTACGACATCTCAGCTTGAGACTGAGCTCAATTGTCTTGTATGATATCTCAGCTTGATCACTGGGCTCAACTGTCGTGTACGTGATCTCAAGTTAAGACTGGGCTCAACTGTCGTGTACGTCATCTCAACTTAAGACTGAGCTCAGCGGCCGATTACGACATCACAGCCTGAGACTGGGCTCAACTGTCTTGTATGACATCTCAGCTTGAGACTGGGCTCAACTGTCTTGTATTACACCTCGGCTTGATCACTGGGTTCAACTGTCGTGTACGTGATCTCAAGTTAAGACTGAGCTCAACTGTCGTGTACGTCATCTCAACTTAAGACTGAGCTCAGCGGTCGATTACGACATCACAGCCTGAGACTGGACTCAACTGTCTTGTATGACATCTCAGCTTGAGACTGGGCTCAACTGTCTTGTATTACACCTCGGCTTGAGACTGGGCTCAACTGTCGTGTACGTCATCTCAACTTAAGACTGAGATCAAAGGTCGATTACGACATCTCAGCTTGGGACTGATTTGAATAATTGCTTCTGAAAGTTCATTTATGCTACAGCTTAACTTAGCAAATCCCAAACTGAGATGAATTTGCTACTTCTGAGTGGTTTGGCGCCCATGCTGCTTGATTAGTGTGTGAAGTACGACCACTAAACTTAGCTACTTTGTTATGTTCATCATGTGTTCCACAAACAAGTAATAAACATGCTACATAAAAATAGATTGAAACATTGTAACAGTGAAGGCAAAATTTACAATATAATAAATACATGCTTAAGTTTCTCATTGAAAACTTCTACTAACTGTTCTGAAAAAAAAAGCAAAGTAGATTTCCAAAAGCAACAACTGACAAAGTTTAACAGAATATAAAATTGTTATCAATAGTTAATTATGCTTAGACATATCACCATTTAAAGCACAGTTTAAGCTGGTGAGAAGTTTCAAGAAAATTCTATTTATACAAATATATCACAACTAATGTCTACATAACGGAATCACGGAAAATGTGTTCTTGAATCTTAACTGAACGATGACAGTTAGATCAAGAATTCGAGTACTTATGTCTGAAGGAAAGAAATGATGACATATGCATCCTGTTAGCTACTTTGTGATGCATGCTGTTTACATTTTTATGATAATGTTCTTAAGGGTTTTATATCTCGCAGAAACTTTAATTTTTGAGATTAGCTTCAACTTTCAAGGGTAATGCATGAATTTAGTAGTTTTCTTCAGATACTCCATCCCGAATTTGTGGCATAACATATAGCAAAACAAATATGAGACATGTAGTTATGAAAATGTGTTGTGCTAGAATGCGGCAGGATTTATGAAATTATTTTCGTATACGTATGTGATATTATAAATAACAACGGAACAGAAAATAAAACCGAAGCCACATTTTGTGTCTATAAATTGCCTGTTTAATCACATTATTTATATTTATTTAATCCATGTTTTTCATGTTTTGTCTTCTCTTTGGTGCACCATCTTCCAAGTTAAACAAAGGAGTATTCTCTAAGTTGATAATGGAAACTAAGTTAAACTAACTAAAACAATTAGACGTTTTCATTGGACCAACTAAAACAATTCCACGTTTTGATGTTTAGGAATTTTGCAAATATTCTAATGTTTACTTACTTTGGTTTAAGTTAAATATTTTATAAAGCGATGTTTCCGTGAATCATTTCGAAAGTTGATGTTTAGAGCAAACCCTTAATTACATCCATTTCACTTTGTTCAAGACAAAAGCACATGTGCTTTGTACTGACATTTTTCTTTCTTTTTTATAGTTTACATTCAATCATTATTTAAACCTAAAATAACTATACAAAACAACACGTACGATTATATAAGTCGATAAAACATAATGAAAAACAATTCAGTTTCAATGGTTTATTCCAGAATTGCCAGACGTTTGGTTGACGCCGTCTCTGCATTCTGCATATGATACTGTACCCGTGATAATTATAACTTGAATGACTGCATCCATTTGTCTTTTGAAGTACACATCAATAACTTTCAAAACATTGTAATTTAACGTATATATAACTTGACGGACAGATGGCGTCAAACGCAGATCCAGGCATCAATAATTCAAGATGGTGTCCATTACTCATCATAATCTTGTAAATGTCTTTAGTTATTTTTCACATTGTTTTATCTGAAGAAACAATTTGAGTCAGCAGGAAGCCATGATGAGGACCAGAGATGTTTGGTCTCGTTAGTTTTATCATAGTTTGTTTAACAATGACTGTAAAGGTTTTCAATTCGAACTCATTTGACTGTTCATGTGCATACAATTTATAAATGTAGCACTTGTGATGAATGGCATTTTTCAGATTTCTCTGCACAAGCAAATGGCGAAAACCATTCCAAATACCTGGTGAACAGAAAAAAAGAACACGAGTTTCTTAGTATTTGGTCATAAAGCAATAAGACACTTAAGAAAAAAGTAATTTAAGTCAGTGTTTTGAAAATGTCAAATAATAATTATTAATATTGCTAAGTTTCAAGTTGGTTTTTATCTAGTCAGGATAAAACCATATATTGTACGTTATTTCTATCTGTTAAAAATAATCTTGGAATTAAAAGTATTAATCCAATTCTGAATAATTTTATACCATCAGTTGTAGGGTGAATTTTTGCAAAATGCCACCTACAACTGGATGATAAATGCTTATAAACTGGTTATCATTAGCTTGTTATATGGAAGATCCTTATCGAGTTATTCACAAAATGCTTCTGGACGTACTTAAAGAAGTACTTTCATGTTTCGAGAATATTGTACTTTGTATAGGAATTGGAATGGTCGTCAGTTCGGTGGTCAAGTAATGTTTCTACTTGATAAACAATAAGTCGTGAATAACATCCTATTTGACGTCATATCCGTGAATAACATCCTATTTGACGTAATATCCAATAACAGTTACAATGTAATTCGCTTCAGAGACACTTATAAAGAAAATAGTCTTTGGTTCTCTACGGCAAAATGTTTTAAATAATTTGATGAAAAACGTATATAAATCGAACCATAAATCATATATATGGTTACCATGGTTCCCAAATTCCAAACGGTGTTATTAAAGATATAGGGAAAGTGTCTTTTATAATTTATGAATTGTAAATCCAATTCGCAGAATACTAAGGAATTGATAGCATGTATAGGACACTTGCCCCGCATGTAAAACAAACCACGTTCCGAAGTTATATCTTTTGCAGCTGCTCTTTAAATGGTATAACCTTTCTATTTGTTTTATCCTGTGCAATGTAAGCTTAATATTTAGTTATTATAAATTATATATATATATACAGAGGGTGAGTCAAAAGAAAGTTGTCTTAAAATTCATATTATATGCGTAATCAATAATGTAATATATTTCGGATGTACTTTTCTTAGCACTGAAAGTTAAATACACGTTCAACATAATACATATATATTCAATTTTTGAAATGGATTATAGAATAAAGGATTCCGGTCTGATGATGGATACTTCTCTCATATTCAAGGACGTGGTTTTATATATTCTTGGTAGTTGCTATATAAATCTGAGAATCTAAGGGAATACTCTACACCATGGCAAGATTAAGTTTCTCATTGCTTGTCTTTGATAATGGGAATATTTACTTGGCCAAGCGTGAAGGTTTAGTGGATTAAAACAATTTGCTGGATTAGCCTTAGCCCCCAGTGGCACAGCGGTATGGCTGCGGAC